ATAATAATAATAATAGTTATTATTATTATTATTATTATTATTATTATTATCATTATTATTATTATTATTATTATTATTATTATTATTGTCATTATTATTATTATTATTATAACAAATAATAAATAATAATAATGATATAGTAATAATAATAATAATAATAATAATAATAATAATAATAATGATAATAACAACAACAACAATACAACAGCAACAACAACAACAACAACAAAAACAATAACAACAACAATAATGATAATAATAATGATAATAATAGTAATAATAATAATAATAATAATAATAATAATAATAATAGTTGCAGTAGTAATAATAATTATAATAATAATGCTAAAAATGACAATAACAATAATAATAATAATGATAATAATAAGGATAAAGATAATGATAATAATGATAATGATGATGATAGTGATAATAATGATAATGATTATAATAATAATAGTAATAATAATACTGATAATAATAGTAATGATAATAATAACGACAATAATAGTAATGACAATAATGAAAATGATAATGATAATGATAGTGATGATAATTATAATGATAATAGTAATGACAATAATAATAACAATAATAATAATAATGATAATGATAATAATAATAATAATAATAATAATAATAATAATAATAATAATAATAATAATAATAAAGATAATGATAATGATAAAAATAATGATAATAATGATAATAATAAAAGTAATAATAATGTAATAATAATGCTGCTACTGATGATGATGATTATAATAATGATAATAATAATTGTTATTGTTATCATTATTACTATTATTAGTCGTATTATGATAATAATGATAAAAAATACGATAATAATAAGAATACTCATAACAATTCATAATTACAACAAGAATAATTGTCATAATAATGATAATGATATAAATCATAATAAAAACAATTATATGAATGATATTATATTCATAATTATATTCATAAAGATATCAGTGATGACAGTAATGATGAAATTAATGATAATTTCAACAATGATAGAAATGAAAATGATGATAATAATATTAATATCAATAATAATTAGTATAAGAATAATAATAATAACAATAATAATAAATATAATAATAATAATAACAATAATGACATAATAATAATAATAATAATAATAATAACAATAATAATAGATATAATAATAATGATAATAACAGTAATAATAAATATGATAATAATAAACATAATAATAATAGTAATAACAATAATAATAATTGTTATTTTTTTACTATCATTATAACTATTGTTATTATTATTTCTATTATCAAGATGATAACAACAGCAGTAATAATAATAATATTAATGATAATAATAATAATTATAATAGTAATAATGATAATAATAATAATAATGATAATAATAATAATAATAATAGTAATTATTGTAATAATAATAATAATAATAATAATAATAATAATAATAATAATAATAATAACAATAATAATAATAATGATAATAATAATAATAATAATAATAATAATAATGATAATAATAATGCTAATGATAATAATAACAATAAAAAAATAAATGATAATAATAATAATAATAATAACAATAATAATAATAATAATAACAACAACAACAATAATAGATATAATGATAATAATAATAATAGCAATATGATAGCAATAATAATGATATTATTATTATTATTATTATTATCATTATTATCATTATTATTTATCATTGATACTATAATCATAATAATAATGATAACTGGTAATATTAAAAAAGAATATTGATAAAAACAATTATAATAAAAAATATAGAATGATAGTAATAATAATAATAATGATAATAATAATAATAATAATAATAATGATAATAATAATAATAATAATAATGATAATAATAATAATAATAATAATAATAATAATAATAATAATAATGATAATAATAATAATAATAATAATGATAATAATAATGATAATAATAATAATAATAATAATAATAATAATAATAATAATAATAATAATAATGATAATAATAATAATAATAATAATGATAATAATAATGATAATAATAATGATAATAATAATAATAATAATGATAACAATAATAATAATGACAATAATAATGATAGTAATTATAACAATAATAATGATGATAATCATATTGCTAATAATAATAATAACAATAATATGGAATGAACAAATAGATAAACAAATAATAACATTAATAACTAACAACGATAATAACCATTATCCTTATTATTATTTTTTTTTTTTTGTTATTACTATTACAATTGCTATTATCATTATCATTATTATTATTATTATTATTATTATTATTATTATTATTATTATTATCATTGTTTTTATTATTATTATTATTATTATTATTATTATTATTATTATCTTTACTACAATAATAATAATAATAATAATAATAATAATAATAATAATAATAATAATGATAATAGTAATAATAATAATTATCATTATTATTATTATTATTGTTATTATTATTATTATTGTTGTTGTTGTTGTTGTTGTAGTAAAGATAATAATAATGAGAATAATAATAATAAAAAACAATGATAATAATAATAATAATAATAATAATAATAATAATAATAATAATAATAATAACAATAATATATTTTTTTTATTAATAATAACAATAATAATAATAATAAAAAAAAATAATAATGATGATGATGATGATGATGATGATAGTAATAATAATAATTATAATACGAATAATGATAATAATATTATTAATAATAATAATAGTAATGATAATAATAATAATGATAATAATAATAATAATAATAATAATAATAATGATAATGATAATAATAATAATAATAGTAACAATAATAATAATAATGATAATAATAATAATAATAAAGACACTGCTAGTAATAACAATGATTACGTATATCATACTAATAATATGAATAATAATAACATTGACAACATCATTAATGAAAAATACAACAGTAATAATAAAATCTAAAATAATAACAGTATCAATCATGATAATAGCAGTGATAATAATAATAATAGTAATGATGATTATCGTTATCATTATCATTGCCACTGCTATAATTATCATTATTATATGAATAATAATAATAACAATAAGTATAATAATAATGATAATAATAATAATAATAATAATAATAATGATAACAATGATAATGATAATAACAATGATAATAGTAATAATAACAATAATACTATTAATAATAACAACACTGCTAATAACAACAATGATGATAATAAAGATAATGATAATGATAATAATAATAATAGTAATACTGCTACTACTAATACTACTACTAATAATAATAACAATAATAATAATAACAATAACAATAACAATGATAATAATAACAATGATAATAATAATAATAATAATAATAATAATAATAATAATAATAATGATAATAATAATAATAATAATAATAATAATAATAATAACAATAATATTAACAATAATGACAATAATAATGATAATTATGGTGATATTCATGATGATGGTCAAGACTATGATGATAATAACAATAAAAATAATAGCAACAATAATGATAATGATAATGATAATATCAATAATGATAATAATAATGACATTGCTAATAATCATAAGAACAGTAATCATAATAAAAACGATAACAATAAGAACGATCATGATAATAATAGTAATGATAATAATTATAATTAAAACAACAAAAAATAATGACAATAATAACGATAATAATAATAATGATGATGCTAATAATAATAATGATAATAACAATAATAGTAGTAGTAGTAGTAGTAGTAATAATAATAATAATAATAATAATAATAATAATAATAATAATAATAATAATAATAATAATAATAACAATAATAATAATAATAATAACACAAAAATGATAATGATAATGATAATAGTAATAATAATAATGATGATAACAACAACAGCAATAATAATAGTAATAATAATAATGATAATACCAACAATGATAATAATAATAATAATAATAGTAATAATAATAATAGTAATAATGATAATAGTAATAATGACAATATTGATGAGGATCAATACAACAACAACAACAACAATAGCAATATTAACACTGATCATGATAATACTGATAACAATAATAAGTAAGACCTATGATATTCTAATGGTACCATCGTCATTATAGGCAATTCTTTACTATAACCATCTATTCGATATGATCACTGTCGTAATACATATAACACTTTCACATAATCATTTCTTGTCAGGAACGTATCAGTTTCTTCTCGCCGTCCCTTCCTTTGGCCTGTTGTAATCATCGGGTCTGTTGCAAGGGACAATCATGCAACAAGTTATGCAGCTGGAATATCGATTGGCAAAGTATATAAACTGTGACCCATTTTTCTTTCAACATATACGATAAAAGTCTCGTGTATAATACATCCATGGTGTGATGGAGTTTTGAGTGTCTGGATCCATAACAGCTGATAATTTGTGAAGTTATGAAAGGATATTCGCTGTTCTAGGCAACGAGTGGTAACTGGCAATAATAACAGTTATCTTAGAGGTAATAAGATCTCTGCAGATGATAAGTTACCTTAGAGGTGATATCGGTTACTTTAGCGATAATGATGGTTACTTTAGATATAATTAGTTACCTTAGATATAATAATAGTTACATTTTGTGAGTTACCTTAGAGATGATAGCAGTTACCTTAAATTCTTTCACTTAAAAATCACGTCTTTACTCACCCTACACAGACGAATCGAATAACTAACAAACTCTTAAAAAGACCAAGTACAGATTACCACCACAAACAGCACTTACGACTGGTTACCATAGAAAATGATTAAACAAAACGAGAGGCCTTCACTCAGGGTAACTACATTTCAACCAAAACAAGCGGTGTTTTTTCTCTCTTTCTCAGCGATATGAAACAACCACATTCTTTTGCAACAGATTAAACCAAAGATAAATTATTCCTTTAAGAATTAATAACTGTCCCACTCACACTAACACAGGAGTAAGGAGGCAGTTTCCAGCAAAGTGCCAGAGCCACGACTGAGGGCTGAGAGTGCCAGAATAAACAGTGTTGTGACATAGCGTAGTCAAGCAACCAAACTTCATTACTTTCCTCCGTACTGTTTCTATCGCGTGAAGAGATTTCAACATTTTTTTTTCTATTTTTCACTATTCCTTTAAATTTCAGTCTTCCTTTTTGTTGTTAATTTACTGGATGAATAAATGAGGAAATCTATTGCCAGTATACTTTTTCCTTTCCTTTTCTAGAGAGCAGTATATGCACGTAATTCAGCATTTATCTCTTCATTTCCATGATAAAAATAAACACTGACAGTCAACACGTCAAATCATAAAACACACACACACACACACACACACACACACACACACACACACACACACACACACACACACACACACACACACACACACACAAACACACACACACACAAACACACACACACACAGATATATATATATATATATATATATATATATATATATATATATATATATATATATATATATATAATTTCCTTTTTCTTTCTTTTTTTTACTTTTGAAGTCTGCTAGCATTAACAATGAAATACAGAAAGAATATCAGAAGGTCCAATTGTCATTTGGGAGACGAGCTCACTATCCAACTTTTTGCTCAATATTTTAAATTATCAAAGTTCCCGCTTGAAAACTTTAATCATCATCAGCGTTATGTTTCTGCCGGACGATTGGAGAGATAATGAAATCAAACTTTTTTTTTTCTTTTTGTTTTTTTCTCTTATTCCTCTCTTCGTGTTCCTTTTTTTCTAATTCCGAAAATGATCAGTATCTTCATTTATCTTCATTTATACTTTTCAGAAACTTCCGTCAGTTATTGCTTTCTTTCTTTCTTTCTTTCTTTCTTTCTTTCACTAATATTATTCTCCGATATACCCTCTTTCTCCGCATTTTCTTCTTATCTTTTTTTCTTTCCTTTTTCTCCTCGTTCTGTCCACAAACCTTGACACACACAGTACGGAATAAAATATGTGAATTATTATTTCTACGTCTTCTAGATATATTAGATATATTACGTTAAAAAAAGAGAAAAAAATATATATATAAAGAAAAAATTACCTGACAATTCCACGGTCCATTTACTCTTTCCTTTGAATCATTTTGTCAGAGTCTTAAGGAGGAAGGGAAGGTTGCGGTTGAGAAGAGGGAATAGAGGGAACGGAAAGAGGGAAAGAGAGAGAGAAAGGGAGGGAGGGAGGGAGGGAGAGAGAGAGAGGGAGAGAGAGAGAGGGAGGGAAGGGAGGGAGAGAGGGAGGGAGGGAGGGAGAGAGAGAGACAGAGAGAGAGAGAGAGAGAGAGAGAGAGAGAGAGAGAGAGAGAGAGAGAGAGAGAGAGAGAGAGAGAGGAGAGAGAGAGGGGGGGGCGGGGAAGGAAGAGGAAAGGAATGAAGGAGGGAAGGAAGAGGAAAGGAATGAAGGAGGGATGTAGAGTGACAGAAAGAGAGGGAGAAGAAGGAGGGTAGGAGGGAGGGAGAGAGAGAGAGAGAGAGAGAGAGAGAGAGAGAGAGAGAGAGAGGGAGAGAGAGAGAGAGAGAGAGAGAGAGAGAGAGAGAGAGAGACAGTCAGACAGACAGACAGACAGACAGAGACAGAATCACAAGAGAGAGCGAGAGCGAAAGAAAACGCTATAAAAAATTTAAAAAACGACAAAGAATTTCCCCACCATGACCAGAGGGAGGGGAAAGGGTTGCCATACATCACCCACGCTTTATTTCACCGCCTCACGAACACCACAAATCACACAAAGACAAAAATGTATCCACCTTCCCGAACTAGATCAATGAGGACAAGGCATCGCGTATATCAAGAAGGATTTACTCCGAAATTAACGAGAAATAAACCATTCTGTTAATTCTTGCTGTGTTTGGTCATTTTGCTGACGTTATGATACAAAATCCATCTCTTTCTTTTTTGAGGAATAAGAGATATCCTTTGCATAAGAATATTTTTGGGGGGAATAATATCTGTTTTATTTATATATTTCGGAATTCGTTAAAAAAAAATAAGGAACATTGCTAGTTGACACGCACTCTGAGAGAAGGGGGAGGGGGGGGGGAGGTGCAATCAGCGAGATGGTACAGACAGATATATTCTACAAACAGAGAGATGATAAAGATAACTAGGTTGCACGTGCATGAGGTTTGCAGAGGACGTTAAAACATGGGCCTTTACAAGTTGTGCGTTGTAAGCAGACAGGATTTGAAAACAGGGGATGTAAGTCGGCAGATGGTGAAAACAGGTGATGCAAGCAGACAGGTGGTGAAAACAGGTGATGCAAGCAGACAGGTGGTGAAAACAGGTGATGCAAGCAGACAGGTGGTGAAAACAGGTGATGCAAGCAGACAGGTGGTGAAAACAGGTGATGTAAGCAGACAGGTGGTGAAAACAGGTGATGCAGCAGACAGGTGGTGAAAACAGGTGATGCAAGCAGACAGGTGGTGAAAACAGGTGATGCAAGCAGACAGGTTTTGAAAACAGGGGATGTAAGCCGGCAGATGGTGAAAAAAGGTGATACAAGCAGACAGGTGGTGAAAACATGTGATGCAAGCAGACAGGTGGTGAAAACAGGTGATGCAAGCAGACAGGTGGTGAAAACAGGTGATGTAAGAGACAGGTGGTGAAAACAGGTGATATAGGCAGATAGCTGGTGAAAACAGGTGATGTAAGCAGACAGGTAGTGAAAACATGTGATGCAAGCTGACAGGTGGTGAAAACAGGTGATGGTGAAAACAGGTGCTGTAAGCAGACAGGTGATGTAAGCACACAGGTGGTGCAAACAGGTGATGTAAGAGACAGGTGGTGAAAACAGGTGATGGTGAAAACAGGTGATGCAAGCACACAGGTGCAAACAGACAGGTGTGTGTGTGTGTGTGTGTGTGTGTGTGTGTGTGTGTGTGTGTGTGTGTGTGTGTGTGTGTGTGTGTGTGTGTGTGTGTGTGTATAACAAAAAAAAATCATAGTAAAGTAAAGTAAAGTTCATAGTAAATTCAAGAAAATTCAAATAAAAGAATATGTCTGCCACACGTTCTTTTTCACATTATCATTTTAAAATTATAATAATTTCAACACTCATATTCAAAATGAAAAAATATATATCTGCTAAATGCTCCATGTTTGAGTGTTATAGTATTAAGAAAAAAAAACTGCTGCCACATGCTTTCCTTCGCATTATCACTGTTTAAATGATTTAAAAATTCAGGGAAATTCACAATAAAAAATGTTTGCCACATGTTTCAACATTCAAAAATCAAATTAGAAAAAAAAATGTCTACCACATGCTTCCTTTGATGGTCTTATTATATATAAAAAAGAGACTTCAAAATTCAAGAAAAATCAAAATTGAAAAAAAAAATACGAACAGTCCTCCTTCACAATTAATTCAAAACTCGAAAAAAAATCAAAACAAAAAAAAAATTACCTACCACACGTTCTTGACATTAATACTATTTCTCAAAAAAAAAAAAAGATTCAAGAAAATTCAACAAAAAAAAAACAAATATCTGCCACACGTTCCCCTTGACAGTTCGTTACTCCTCTCGCCTTTGTCTCCCGCCGCAGATCAAAGCCCGGGCCGCGGGAAACCTGCGTCAGACCTGTTTATTGAACCGACGCGTGATGACCGGCGTGTCAAAACTGCGAGTGATCAGGTCCAGGGTGAAGAGTCGCATTGTCGGTGGTTGTGGTGGTTTAGAAGGGTAGTGTTAGTTTTGTCTGTCATTATCTCTCTATCTATCTGTCTGTCTGTTTATTTATTTTCTATCTATCTACGTTTAGATACGTGTGTGGGTGTGTGCTGAACAAAAATACAGACATTATAATAAGTACACAAAATTACGTGTTTATTGTATGGTGGTACTGTTTTTTTTTTATATACATGTATAATTATACATGTGCATGTATGTATATAAATATTTATGTGTGTGTCTGTGTGTGTACGAGCGACGCGTGAGTGCGTCCGTGTGTGTGTACACGCGGACCCCATTGTCTATATACGCCCACTATCGTATTCTTCGCCTCCTCCTCTCACGTAATTTCATCTCCAATGAGCAGCATCTCACGGGCATCCACGCGGGAGAATCGATAATCCGATCTGGACATAATCTGTGAATGGGCGTCGACACCGATGCACTTGACACGTAATCATTCCGTTACTTTGGGGCCGAATGACGTCAGGCGTGGCAGAAAGGCTTTTGTGCAGAGAGCGCAAGCTTAATCAAATAAAATAGAGAATGTATATACATCTTCTTTTTCTTTTTGTCTGGTTTGGGTGGTGTTTTTGTGCTGAATGTGTGCGTGTGTATCATAAAGGCTTTTGTATAAATAACACAAGCTTATATATATATTTATATGTATATATATATATATATATATATATATATATATATATATATATATATATATATATACACACACACACACACACACACACACACACACATATATATATATATATATATATATATATATATATATATATATATATATATATATATATATATATATGTGTGTGTGTGTGTGTGTGTGTGTATATATATATATATATATATATATATATATATATATATATATATATATATATATATATATATATATACATATAAATATGCATAAAAAAAACATGCATAAAAAACAAAAACTTTATTCCACATTATAAATTTATAATAAAACGGGTAATTAGTAACCTGTGCGTAAACAAAAACAAAAAAAAAGAGAAAAAAAACTCTATTGTTATTCTGCGAAAAAAGAAAAAAAGTTTTTACGATATTTTCTCCTTTCTAATTAGTTATTGATTATCTACCTGCTTGATTCTAATGAGCTTGCCAGGGGCCTGCTACCTGCTCAGAAAACCGTGATATATAGCAATGTTTTTTTTTTTTTTTTCTCCTTCTTCTTCTTTAATTTCATTGTCGCGCGAACATCAGCTCAAAAATGGAATTCATTTTTAATCCCGAGCGAATTTGGAGAGATGCGAACAATACTTTTGACTTGTGAGAGTTTAATATGGAAAATTCGTGCTTGAATTTCC